TTTCACATTCCCTCTGATTCAATATGCTTTAGGAATGGAACAGTAGTGTTCTGCTTCAGGTGCAGACAGAAGATGTTAAAAACACAGGCTCCACCATACTTGTGGTAGGACATCAGAAAAGGAGAGGCTTTTTCCTTCTCCATAAGCTAAAATTCAGAATATTTTTGAGAGGATGGGGAAAAGGATTGAAAAGCATATAAAGGAGCATTAATAGCACTCACCTATCCCATCATCTTGTGTGTATATATATATATACACATACATATATATATGTGTATATATGAATGCACTAATATATATAAACACATAGCTACATACACCTTCTTAGAGATGTGCATAGGTAACAATATAGACATACACAAGCACAGACTAAACTTTATACAGAGGGAGAATGCATTCCAGAGTCTGACACTGGGAAAGGTTTTCTTCAGCTATTTACACGCCTAGTCTCAGGCAGGATGTGGTCTGTCATTGCAGAGGCCACAGCACAAGGTGAGACTTTGCAAAATGTAATACAAGCTATTAATGCTGGTTGGTCTGCAAAATTTGTACCTCCCTCTTAGAAGGGAGGATGCCAGGACTGAGGGGGGATTTTCTTCAAGAACTAGATTGGTTGTTTTTGCTACACTGAGACAAAAGACACTGAATTGGACACAGAAGGACAAACAGACAAGAAAATGTAAGATTGACTACAGTGACTACATTGTACTGCTTGCAACACACACGAAAAAAAAAGTGAAACATTGAAAGAGTTGTGGTAATTCAGCAGTTTCGGAATGACAGCTTTAAGTAGTGGAGGCTTGTTCATCTGACAACTGCATGTTTCAAATCATGAATTGCACAGCTGAGCAACGATGTTTTATGTGACTACAACATCAAAATCAATCTTCTGCAGGAAAATCTATTTGCCAGACACATCACAGCACAGGTGTCACAGCAAGTAACAAGTCATGGCATGACAGCTAGCGGTGCAACTGCTTTAGGCATAATAATTTTTTGAGTCCAGGACAGCTACAGAGAACGCCACCTGTGTATAAGAGTAAAGAAATCTAATTAGCATCTTTAATTGAACTTCAGCAGCATGGTCGAACATTGAAATGAACCCTGCTCAGAGTGGTTGGACGAGAAACCTCAGGAAGTTCCTTCCGACCTAAATTGTTCTGTGATCTGTAGCATACAAGAAGATTGAATCTCATCTACCATCTCTGGCAGGAGCAGAAGACACTTTCAGCTTCATTCATAGAAAAAAGAAAAGCTGAGTTCTTACTCTTCCAGTTTTGACACAGGAGAGGTTTGGGGAGAGTCACTGGCCAGTGGAGTTCCTTACTGGAGGAAGGTTTTAAGAAATGCAAAGACTGAAATTCACCGGGTGCCTTCACATGAAATCCACTGGGTGCCTTCAAATGAAAGGTGGAGACAGTGAAATACTGCTACAGTACAGGCCAACAATATGGTGTTTTTCCTGTGAGGAAGGTGAGCAGAGAGGAGCACATTCTTTAAAAAAAAAATGTTACACTTCCCTGCATGCAAATACTGAGCCCTCACAAACTGTTTTCTCATATCTAATAATCTTCTTTACCTGTTGGAAACTCACTGTAATTACAAGTTTCAATGCATGCTTCTCATTAACAAAGAAATCTACCCTCCATTCCATGGAGTTTTGTTTTACCTCATTAAACATATTGTTAAAGCCTCCACAAATATTTTTTATACCCACACGGACTCCTTATTGAATCTGGCTGTCTTCACTTCCTGTTTAAGCACAACTCACTTGGTAAGTTGTTGCCTCACCACACCCCTAAAGTGGTTGCCTTTAAGTGGTTGGTGAAATGATTAATATTTATTTAGTAAGGTTCTTTGAAAATGATACATGACATAAATAACAGCTATAACTATTTATTATGCTTCCGCAAAAATACAGCTTTTGTAAGATTAAAAGCCAATTCTCTCATTAATTTTCTTAAAATTTGATAAAACCAAACTAACTGAACCTTCCATTTGCATCTTAGCCCTCCTTTCTCTTCACAGTTTTTAATAGTCAGTATTTTCCACCTGATTACTTCTAATCACACTGTTACACTGTTTTTACAGCCTTGGGCTTTATTACAAAGCCCCTCTGTTAGTCAAGATAGGCACAAAACAGTAGCAGGTAGGGAGCAATACACATTTTCCAAAGATCAGCGCCATTATTTAGTGTTTTTGTAAATATTTACTTTAGACGAAGGCTAAATGTTACTTAAGATTTGTTCTAAACTGCTGTGTTTAAAAGTAAAAATCACGAGGACATATGGAACTCATCTGAAGGAGAAAAAAAAGTTACAATTTCACAAAATAATTAATTTCTTTACTGTTACCAAAGAGTTGCCTTCATAAAACTTGTGGCATGCTTTTGTATCTTAGGTGGAACATCATGACACATATCATGTGGTTTTGTGGTCTCCTCTTCCTACTGCCTGAAGCTCTGGCTGCAGTTTCCCCAACCTGACTGTCCCACCAAATCTGTACACACCCTCATCATGCTCCCGGTGGGATTTCTGTTCCTGTTCCGTTCTTCCCCCCCCCCCCCCCCTTCTTCTTAGTCATCTTACCCACAAGCCGCATAAATCAAGGCGAGGCCGTGTTTTCACAGCTAGACAGTTCTTGCAACATCAGGGCTGAGTTCAGGGAAATGGCTGGAAAACTTGCTATCCACACACATACACACACACACACCTGCCTTTTGGCTCATGGAAGACGAGCACAGTGCCAAAGATGTTTGTTTATTCTTGCCCTGGGTGCTTTGATATGTACGCTATCGATGAGGGCAATCGCCTCCCTCACAGCGCAGCACCCGGCACCGAGCAGGGCCTCACATCCTCACAGACCTCCCAGGCGTCTTCTCCAGGGCGTGAGATTCTGGGTCACGTCACTCCTGCTGTCCCTACCAGCCTCCTGACGAGGCCACTCTGTTCTTTCATGGCTTTGGAAGAGATTTGGGTAGATCAAGTCAAAGCTACTAAGCCAGGCAAGTGCAGCCATGCCACTTTGGACGCGGCACTTGCTGAATGCAAGGAGAGTTTGATCCAGGTGGAGCAAATGCAGTCCTGTGTTACAGTGTCGTGACAGCATCAAGCCTGTAGCTTTGAAATAGTTTGTGGCAGCTTAGGGAAAAGCAACAGGATCCTGTGCTGTGACTCTACTTAGCCCTTGTTGTGTGACATCTGCTGGGACATGGACTGCACAGCTTTCCTGCTCTGGACCTTAATTTCAGGTCTGGGCACAGCTACAGTGACCAGGCAGCAGCCTGCACATTTGGGGTGGGCAGGCTGGCAGCGTGTGCTGAGGCACACTTGGGAGAAAGGTGAGGCTGCCGCAGAGAGAAAGATGCTGTGGGCATATGAAGCAAGGCCCTGCCCTCCCCATCCTTGTGGGATTGTGCCATCACATCAGCAATGCCAGGGAAGTGAGTTGGTGGGGAGGGCACAAGAGCAATCACTGCCTACAAAGCAACACACACACAGCTACTGCCACTCCATATTCCAACAGATGTCCCACAGAGCCAAAGGTGACTCTAGTACCCAGACACAACTTGGTTGTCTCACTGGACCGTCCTGTACTGCAGTGATGGGACACCCTGTGTGCTAAAAATCCTTCTGCCTCTCTGTTCTTCTCTATTTTTCCCTTATCTGAACCATATCTCTCAGGGTGGAACCAGAAAATTGAATATTTATTTGAAATATTAAAGAACTAGAAACACAATGCGGAAAAACCAGTCCCTTACTCCGCCTGATTTTTACCTGTCTGGAAGATCTGGGAGGAGACAGAAGAGGATGAGTGGCATTACTCAGAAAGGAGCTGCTGGTTCCAACACTGTGGTGAGGAGGATGCTATCCTTCCAGGAGCAGCGTGCAGGGGATGCACACACAGTGGTTCCAAAGTGCCTTCCACCTGTGTGGCTGCTTTGGTCCATCAGTCACCACAGCAACCGGGTGTCCCTCACAGTCTCCATGGGGCTCTCAGGAAGCCACATTTACATCCAGGTGGGCCCGAGTCTGTCACTGTCCTTGGCAAAACTCTGCTGGCTCTGTGCACCATTATAGTAATGACTGGGTTTCATCATGTAAATTTTGGTAGTTTTGATAATGTCAATACACTGAGGAACTTCCCAGTTTTGGACAGGGTTTACAGTCAGGGAAGTGATGGGCAAGCCAGGACACAGATTGGCTTTGCTGCACACAGCAGGATGAGGGTAATACCCGGGACCGGACAGTATCCTGCAGGTAGAAAGTTCTCTGTCTGGCACCCTGACTCCCATCCCTGCCCAGAATGGATCTGGAGAGGCAGGAGGTCTGGCATCTGACGGTGACAGGCACTGTCAACCTGTCTTCTGCTCTGAAACTCTTTAAACACAGGGTAAGTCTGTGAGTTGGCGCTGCTGAACTCAAACACCTTCTGCAACCACCTCCACAGAGGATTCCAGACGCTCAGGGATCCTGGAAGTGCTCCCGTCACCAAAATCACCTCAGGTCGTGCTGCTGAGGCTTTTTGGTCCAAGTGGAAGCTGGATCGCTAATGGTGCATGTTTGAAAACGACACAAGTTTCCTTCCTTCCATCCTCCTGTGAAGCTCAGGAGGCAGGGGTCTCGGTGAGGACAGCTGAGGTACACGGTACGGCGCTGCCCGTGCCATGCAAGGGCCACGTCCTTGTCCTGCCCTCCCCGCCGGGCTCGGAGGGGCCCGGGAAAGCCGGACATGTCCTGACCGCGCGGGTCAGCGCAGCCCGTGAGGGCTGAGCGGGGGCGCCCCAGGGCGTCCCCCGGGGAGCCGGCTGAGCTCGGTTCCTGCCCGTGACAAGCCCCGTCGGACTGACTCTGACAACTGATCGAGTTTGGGGATGTCGGAACTTCTCGGTTTCGCGATGTCGGTGTTTAACGCGAGGGACGCGCCGCGCAGGTGCCGCGGGACGGGCGGGCGCCGGGGAAGCACCGCCGCCCCTCAGCCGCAGCCGCCGCTGGGGCAGCCAGTCCTTCCCCCTGCACTTGTCAGATGCAGATGGGACTGGCAAAGTTTGTTTGAATAAAAAAAAAAAAAAAGCCTAAAAAAAAAAAAAAAAAAGGGGAAGAGCAGGAGGAGGGGGGAGGAAAAAAAAAAAGATCCTAGAAATCCAAAAAGGCTCATCTGGGAAGGAGAGAGAGGAGACCAAGAGGAAGCGGGATGCAACTCAACCTGACGCTGATCTGCTTCGTCTTCGGGGGGTTCCTGCCCGACGCCGCGGCCCGGCGGGAGCAGATGGACACGGGGCAGTGCGACCTGCCCCGCTCGGTGAGCCGGGCCGGGCCGGGCCGGGGGCGCGCCGGCCCTCGGGGGATGCGCGCGTGTCCGCG